ATTTAAGATAAAAATCCGCTCATCTATTACAAATACTATTTAAGATAAAAAGCTTAAATTTTAGGTATAATTAGATTTTTACTAGATTGTTATTTCCCTAGAAATTTTTTAGTTATCTCCCCCGCAAGCTACTGACCATCAAAATCCTAAAATTTACATTTTTGACAATGTACGATATCGAAGCCGTACAAACATCAGTTTCCTTCTAGACGGTAAGTTATAAGAGTCTGAAATTAGCAACTTTTACACGCAAATAAATAGTTTATTTCCTTAGAAGAAAATTTTTTTCCACCTCCATCGACTTCAATTTATCTCCTCTCAAAATTTGTAAAATTTATTATTTTATTATGCAATTTCGGAGCCTTATATTTCCGAAACAGAAAATACCCTGTCATCAAAAAACATAACTATATTTTTATCCAGCTTACATAATCGTCGAATCCGGCAATTTTTTCTTTTCATCATCCTTAATGTATGCAATAAATTTATTTATCAATAAAATTTGTGTTCTTGTAATATTTATTATTTTTTAATTATCGATATTAATTAAGATTAAGATCAATGATCCAATTTCCAATACCCCATAACAAATTAAAATCATTTTAGCCATTATTTGAATTACAAAACAAATATATTTGATAAAGGGTTTTAATAATCCAGTTTATAAATTTGTTTTTGAAGTTGATAACACACAGGCAATTGTTTTTCAACACAATTTTGCAATTAAAAAAATATTTGATGCCATACATGATTAATACAAAATTAGAAAAAAAAAAAGTATAATTACCTTCAGTCTTTGAAATTCTACTACACTATAAAAATTTTTTAAAAGTGATTAATTATTCTAAAATATTAGAAAAATTAAATATCTAAATTATTTTTTACTAAAGCAAGATATAGTTATTATTGTATAGTAGATGTACATCTGTGTATATAGCAAGAATAAATATATATATAATATTGATTTTCAATTGTAATAATTATTTAGTCTTTAAGTGTGTATAGGTAATTTTACATTTATGAAATTACATACATAAATACACTGCACTAATTTATACAAAAATATTTTTTTTTTTATAGAAAAAATAAAAAATTTTTTAATATTCATTAAAACAAATTCTCAGAGCGCATATTTTTAGTTTAGAGAATAAAAATCACTGCAATTAATTAAAATTAAAATTCATCCATATTTCCTTTGCTCTTAAATATTAAAATGAGGGTAATAATGCAATGAGATTTTCAAAAAAATGTTGTATGATAATAACGTGAGTATATATGTATGTACATATAAGGATATACTGATATACCTATATTTAATATGTAACATTATATTTTGATGATTTTATTGTTACTGCTTAGTACTTATGTATGTATTCATTGTAAACATTTATATGTATTTTTCTGTTGACGTAAACTTAAAATTAAAAGTAAATGAACCCCATTTTTATTATACAGAAAACATTTGTAAATATTTAAAAAATTGTGAAAAGTAGAAATCACATATATGTATATATATTTTAAAAGTTCATTTACTTGAAGCTGAATAACTATTTAAATTAAGTGAAAGTATTGAATATCTTTAGACTTCAATTCTTTCAAAACGAAATTACTTACACATAACATAAGGCTTTTATGAATTAACGGTAATTATGTTTGGCATACTTTAAAAGACAAACTGTGTATAGCAAATAAATTATTCTTTTATTATTATAAAATAAAATGTATAACTTCAAAAATCTATCCAATCCAAGAATTTTATACAAAATATCGCTCAAAAATGTATACTGTAGACCGAAAATATACATAGAAATTTAAGTACCTATATACATTTACAAGCCATTACTTGCTTGTAAATTCGCAGGCACTTAATATAGAATTACTTAAAAAACTATATGATACTATTTATTTGCAAACTGAATATACAAAATTTAAGTAAATTTACTTCAACTTATATATTTTGTCCTAATTTAAAATATTAACGCAAAATTTTATTAAATTACAATCTATATTATAAGATTGTATTGTAAGTAATCACTTTTGCTATATTTCCTTCTATCTCTTCCTTCTTTCTTCTACTTTATTATATAGGAAATCTTTCTATTTATAAAATAGAATAAAATATGTGTATATTCACTTTTATTATTTAAATATAAGTGTATGTATATAATAAAATTATATTACTGCATTATAAAAATAAAAATAAAATTTGTAATGGGTCATAGAAAACCACCCTACTTAAGAACTATACTGCTGTTGCAGTTGTATAATATGTCTACGATTCTTTGATAGAAAAGAAATTATGAAGAATAAAATATAGGACATAAAAATAGAAATAGGAAAAAGTTTTATTTTATTTTTTTTTTGTTATTTCTTTCGTTTTTCGTTGAACATCAAAAACACTTGAGTTTTTGAGAAGGACTTCTTGAGTTTTTTTTCTCAAGGATTTTAATTTTCAATCGTATGTCGTTAACGTTGACGTTAAAAAAAAAAGAATGATGAACTAAGATGATGCTTAGTGTGGATTTTTTTTTAATAAAGTGCATAATATTTTATAACAGGGTGATGACGAGCAATATGCATAAATTTTATGTGATAAAATGTTATATAAAATGCTGATAATTGCAAAAAAGCTAAAATGAAATCAAAGCTTTGAATTACTCAAAAAATATGTAGATTTTATGATAAGTTTTAAACCTTAACACTTAACCTGAACAAAGTGATCTGAATACACAAATCTGCGTACATAACAATTTATAAATAAACTTTATTTAATACACAATTCAGCTTATAACTTCCGATTGCTGAATTGTATGTTGATGCAATATTTTTGTAATTTCGATATCAAGGAAATTAAAATATAAATATTAGATTAAGTATGAATTTTATGTTCGCTGGAACACTGTTTACATATTTATTTATGGATCCTGTTTTTATACAAAAGGTTGATATAAGAATTGTATATAATATGCATGTACTCGTATTTATATATCCTGTCTTATAAATTTCTTTTTATAATAATTTTTTTAAAATAAAATTTATAAAAGTTTTTAATGTTGTTTTTTTTTTATACAAAAGAATTTTGTGATAGTATCTTTATGGACTCCTCCATATATTCATGAATATATGAAATAATTAGGAGTATGTACGAATCTATCGCTTTTAAAGTATACATACTATAATATAATAAAATACATGTATATATATGTATATAAATGAAGCATTTCACATTCTAGTGTTTAAAATGATTTAAGTTATACAAATATTAAAACCTTTGTAACTATAAATAGTGTTAATACACAAAATAATATATGTGTGTATATAGACATAGGGATTGTAATTATTTGCTTATGAGAATCATGTAAATTTCCTGATATTATAAAATGAATTTATATTTTTATATGAAACGCATTTATTTTTAGTTAAATTCGAAATACTTTTATATTCTCAAATATCCTGTAATCATTTTGCATTAATTAACATTTCTAAAGTTGAGATGACGTGCGTTCTAAATGTGAATTGTTTTAATAGTAGAAATGATGTTTATGAAACAAATGATACTAATTTGTACTTGAATGGAAATAGATTTTTTTTTGCATTTTAAAAAAGATGAAGGATTATGTGAAATACATATATTCTTAGATTAAAAAATTCAAGATCGTATAATATTGATTTTTATTTCTAAGAATAATATGGGAAAGAAATAAGGAGCTTTTTTAAGGAAACGTCACTAAAATCGTTAAATACAAACTCTTTTTCTTGAAATCTAATTGATCAAATTTACAATTTTTTTTATAAATAAATTGGAGATTTCAATTGCTATAGTATAACAGTATTATTTTGCTATTGTATAACAGTAAGAACATAAATGCACTTTTTAAATATTAATATTCTTAAATATTTAATAATTAAAAACATAATCTGTATGAAAATAATTAATTAAATTGTATAAGAATATTTTATACACTCGCCAATGGCAAAATTTATAACAATTCCAAATTTTAGTTTGAATTGTATATAAATTTCTATATTTAATTTTCAATTCATATTTTCATAATATTATTACCTTGCAAGTTTCTTGCCAATAATATGGTACTCCTTTTAGATGCGTACAATGCTTATGTTCGTTTTAGGAGTATACATAAAATGTATTACATTTGAAACGTATAACACTTCCTAATAATAGACATTTAAATAATTCTTAATATGTACTATTATTTAAATATGTTTGTACATAATATGTAACTATAAATATTACACAATATTATAGTAATTAAAAAAAAAATACAGTTTTTATAAAAATTCAACAATTTCTCGTATAAAAACGTATGTACATGTATGCTTATAAAGGAGTCTCAAATTAACTTTTATAAATATTAAAATTCCAATTGATTAACAAAAAATTTACTCTCTTATTATTTATAATAAGCATATATACTAACGGTACCTATGTACATAACCAAAACATAAATATACTGTTATCACAAAAATGTGCTGACAAAAACAATAAAATGAAATAATTTTTTTTTTATAATTTACAGTAAAATGTTAAAGCAACAAGCTGATATATTCAACAATATTCTCTCATAACAAAAAATTTTGTTCTCCTTTTCAAAAACATAACCTCAAAATTCAATATGAAAAACAGTAACAAATTAAATGTAAACATAAACAAAAACAGTTGCAATGAACCACGTGTTTTTATCAAAATGTAAATATTAAATCCTTTTTTTTTTGTTTAATTCAAATCACGCATGCTTCAACGCCATTGCAAATCAGCAATTCAGCAAGGAGAAAAGGAAAATCAATATTTTCATAAAAAGTTTAAAAAGTTTTCATTTTGCCAAGTAAACTAAAAGTTTGTTTAATCAATGTGGAAGAAAAAATTTATTTAAAAAAAAATTATAATAAAATTTAAATATTTATTTTAACAAAATAAATGAGCTTCAATGTATTTACTATAAATATATGAAATATATACATATATATATTTAATTAAAGTATCCAGTTTTAATTTTAAGAATTTGAGCAGCCTTAAAAAAATAAATCTAAAGAATTTAGAAAAAATTTGTGTAATTTTCTTGTTTTTCGATTTTACACAATAAAAATATCTCAATTGTTTCCGATAAGCTGTAAATATATTTTTAAGTACAAATTAGGATAAAAATCAAAAAATATTTACGAATTGGGGACGACGTATCATATTACATTTTTACATGAATATGTAATATATAAAAAAAAAATTTCAATTTGGGAAACAAAAGAAACAAAAAATTTAGATAGTATTTAAAAAAAAATAATGATAAAAATGCGACCATATGCCCCCTCGGAGAGGGTAGCTATTAGAGCAGATAGCATAGATGAAGAAACGTCAGATATAGAAGATGAAGTTTTTATACGTGATGGTCGAACAGGAAAGGTGAGAAAAAACAAAGCGTTATTGTTAGAAAAAAAAAACACATACTTATGTACACTTATGTATAAGGGTGTGTATATAGTGTCTGTGTAGTTTTTATATGTGAATACAGTTTTCAATTGAAATAAGAATTTAAAATAATGTATAGTATTCATTAAAATTAATATATGTACATGTGTATCTATGGAAACAATCTAAGGAAAATTTATTTATTTTTTTTTTTAGATAAGCGATGAAAATGGCTTAAAAAGACCATTAATGGCTCCGAAACGTAGTAGTAAAACTAATGGCAAATCATCTAATCAAATACCAATAATGAAAAAGAATCGTCGACGTTGTTGGAAATGCTGTGAACCATTTTGTTATGGTTTGGCTGCAGTTACAATATTAAGTGTATTAATATTTTTGGCAGCATTAATATTGACAATGTTTCCTATTCCACTACAAAAACTTAAAGTTTGGTTAAAAAAAGATTCAGCTTCTTTAAGTTATAAAAGTGAAAATTTCGAAACTGATGGTTTCGGTGTTATAGGCCCAGAATTTGTACCATGTACCCATATAGCTGTACAAAGAGTTTGGATGAAAATTTTTCCAAGGATGATTAGCGAAAGTCCTGTACGAAAGGTTGATTTAAATGGTGATCAAATAGATGATATTGTTTTTGGATTTGGTATTGGTAAGATAAATTTTGGAAACTTTTAAAATTCATTTAAGCATATACATATGTATCTTAAAATTTAAAAATGTGATATATGTAATTAATTTTTTTATAATTGAATTCAAACATATTTTACATACGTTCTATATTTTACAGATGATAGTATCATTTATGAAAATATTCCTTTAAAGAAATGTACATCTGCACGCCAAGATGAAGAAGTATCATGTGAAGGAGGCGTTACTGCCTTAAATGGAAAAAATGGAGATTTAATATGGCAAAGATGGCTTGCCGCTAATATATTTTCAATTTTATGTTCAGTCGATATAGACCATGATGGTTATAATGACTGTATCGCAGCAGGCAGAGGGGGGGTTAATAATATTACATTATTTTAATTAACGGTTCTTATATTTAATATTTAATTTTAGGTTGTCGTTGCAATAAATGGCCGAAACGGCGAAATAATTTGGAATCTTCGAGAGTTAGATATTGAAACAAATTCGCCAATAATTATTGACCTTTATACAATCAATTTAGTTAGAGATTTAGATGGTGATGACATTCAAGAAATATTGGCTGTTCACCTTGAGGAACGTAAAACATCTAAGTCTGGGCATATAAAATTAATTTCAGGAAGATCTGGAAAAGTAATTAGAAGTATACCAACGCCTTTTAAAGAAGAAGTTTTTGTACCGATACAAACATTAGTTCAACAAGACGGTACTGAATTACTTTTAATTATTACTGGTGGACAAAATAGCCCAGGAGGAATTTACACTATTAGATTATACAATTTAATGGAATACCGAAGTGAAAAAGAATTCACTCCAATTTATCAAACAGATTTTTCTGGCTTTATGACACCAGCTGTAATTACAGATGTAACAGGCGATCAAATAAGTGATATAATTGTAGCCTCATTTAATTCAACAATTTTCGCATTTGATGGCCGAAATTTTTCTATGATATGGAATTACACTTTTCCGGGGAGTGAAAGTGTCAGCGCAATTGTGCCAGGTCATTTTAATCATGATAACGTTACAGATTTCATGATTAAATATAATACGGGGCCAGGATTTCCGGTTTATTACTATTCACAAACAACAATTTTAAATGGCATAGATGGTCAACCAATAATGGGTGCGATGATGTTGGATTCCGGTGGCCCAAATAGCTTATTAGGTGGTGTCTCAATATCTCAAACATCCGGTGGAGATTTTTTTTTACATTGGCAAGTACAATGTCGCGGAAAATTAAATGTGAAAGATTCGTATGAATTTATACCGGAAAGCGATGTAATATTGCAAGCCAGAGCTGACACATGTCTTTTAAGATATAATACTACAACCGTTTTAAAACTGTATGCCATTACGAGACATATTGAACCGCCGGGTGCTGTAATATTTAGTTCAGGTTAGTTATAAATTTAGTTCTTTTCTTTTAATGTTTAAACTCTTAATTTTTAGATGACATTGACGTTAAGTTGAATAAAACTGAATTACATAAGGTTAAGCAAAATACAGTTTCACCCTTAAAGCACCCAAAAATGTTAAAAAAATTACTTGCCAAAGAATATTTGAAAACAGAAAGCGAATTAGCAAATAGTTTGCCACATAAAGGTCAAAAAAAAGTTTATAAGGAAAACGGTCCAGAAAATAGCGTAAATCCTATAATTGAACAACAAGAAAAACTAAGAGAACGGTATAGGAAACCGCTATATCCTCCAAAATCAATTATAGCAGATGAATTAGCTCCTGTTGATGACGAAGACAGCTCTAATTTCGAAAATGCAAAACCTTTTATATACCCAGCGTCATACAATATACCGGAAAGAAATGGATTTGTAAGTTAAAACGCTTTTAAATTTAAATGTTCACGTAACAATTTCTAATTTTTATTGCAGAAGGAATATGATGGAGATCCACAATCGCGTACTCAAGATGAATATCCTGAAATTTTATATAATGATATTGAGCAACAGCAACCAATACCCCCGCAATTAAATGAACGACCTATTCGTTTAAGAAGTAAATATCCGGGTAATCGTGATGTTAGAAGTGAAATAACTTCGTACGATAAGATCCCTACTTCAATCAATAGGGAGAGTTTAAATATCACAAGCGATGAAAAATCAACTTCGCCTTTACCAGAAAAATCTAATAGTAACAATGATGAACCAGTGAACCTTTGGGACATAGAATTAGAAAAAGAAGAAGAGGAAGCATTAAAAGAATCTCATAAATATGAATATAGCTTAAGGCAAAGACGACAAAATTTAGAACAAGAAACGGAACCATCTGTTATGGGTACATTCAAAGAAGAAAGTGATCTCTTTTTGGCTTCGATATCTTCTACGGGTGTTCTAGTCGATTCTTTAGACAAGTCATCCAATTCCACTATTGATTATGCGTTCGTGATCAATGTGCGTGAATCAGAAACTTATCCCCCATTACTACTGCAGGAAGATATTAACTGTATTGAAGAAAAAATGAGCTCATATAACAGTAAGTGAAATTATTATTATATCAGATATATTGCAAAACAACGGCATGATATTTTGTCAAATATTACATTTTTTAATTTCATGTAGCAATATCCAATGCAGATTTACAGCAAATTCAAAAACAAGTTCTTGAGCAATGCTTAAAATCTCGATTAGGTACTGAAAATATACAACCAGGTATACCACGTTATGAATCTCAGGTTGTTGTTATAAAAATATCAATAGCATGCAGTTGTCATAATCTACAGCCTGGCGAGATATGTTCAAAATTAGAGAAAGCCGATCAACAAAAATGGACACAATTCATGGGAAATTATGAAAATGGATTTTACAAAAATTAATATTGACTGAAAATGAATTTATAAATATTGCCAATGACACACCAAAAATTTTCTTACTAAAAAATTGTGTTGTTAATTTTAGTTTTATAATTAATCAACTTTATTTTTTACAATCTAGTTTCTAAGTTATATGGGTACCAGCTTTCAAATAAGTAGGATGTTAAATTATCAATTTCAATAATCCATATTGTAATTATATATTAATAAAATGTGTAATATAAATTTATTGTAAGATATGAAAATACTAGTGGCAGATCCATTTTTATTTTCTTCATCTTTTTTTTTATAAAAATTAATAAGATTATTTTTTATCGTAAAAAAGCCATTCAAAAAAATAAACCTACCTATATGTTATGTATGCATGTATATATGTATATAAAAATGTAATATACATATACATTATATATCATTGATATATTATTTTTATATTGAAAACTACATTATTATAATTTAATAAATATATACATATAATTGATGATAATTTAATATTAAAATAGTGAACTTATGTATCAAGCTATAAAAAAATATTTGAACGAACAATAAAAATTCTATTAGCTTGGAATTGTTACTATGTGTATTCTCTTTCTCATATAAAGAAAAAACAAATTTTACAAATATGTTCCAACTGTTCTTTATTAACTTAACTTTTTTTTTCTTGGGAATATTTCAATATATTGAATAAATTTGCAATAGCAAACTAATAATTATGACGTAGGTACTTACATGAATAAAAAAAGATATTAATTTATTAGAAACTCTGTCACACTGAGTAATTAGTTAAATTAATCTAGTTCATTTTTATTTTTTAACAATTTGAATAACGTCTTCGTCCGCCATTATATGAGCGATTCCAACACGCTGAGGAGAATATTTTGTCGAAGTTCCCCAAACCAAGGCATATTTAAATTGGGCTGCTAGGTTTCTATGAATCGCGTGACAAACATGCTCTACTGTAACACCCTACAAGTTTAAACATTAATATAAAGATTGACAATTTATACGTAAACTATATATACTTTTCTTAAAATTAAACCATCATCAAAATCAGGCGGTGCTCCAGGCTTTTTAGTATAAACTCGAATAAGTTGTAAATATTCCCATATAGTTTCTAGTAAATAATCAAGATTTAAGTTCATATTACAGCTGACAACGACACTATGAGACTGTCTTGCTAATCGGTCTACTTCCTCCATTGATATTTGATCAATTTTATTGTATACATATAAACAAGGGAGATAAACACGATTGGCACTAATTACATCGATAAATTCGTCTGTGCTACAGTCTTCACGGAAAAGAACTTCGGCATTAAAAATCTTATATGAATGCAAAATCATTTGGACCATTTTTTCACTGCATTTTGTTAACGTGCAAGTTGAATTAAAACTAATTCCTCCACCTTTTTTAACCTTGTAATAAATATTAGGTTTTCGTTTGTTTAATCGTATTCCAACGGACTCTAATTCAGCTTCTAATAAATCTCGATGTACATTAGGTTTAGTTGCATCTAACATCATTATTACTAGATCAGCAGTTCTAGCTACAGCAATGACTTGCCGACCTCTTCCTTTGCCCTAAAATAAAACACAATGGATTCATTTTCATTTTATTGATTTCATACTTCTTTTTTACTTGCGCAGCTCCTTCAATGATTCCAGGTAAGTCGAGTAACTGTATATTAGCTCCTTTATATTCAATTACTCCAGGAATGCATGTTAAGGTAGTGAATTCGTAATTGGCTGCTTCAGATTGAGTTTTTGTAAGTGTTGAAAGTAACGTAGATTTTCCTACTGACGGAAATCCTATAAGAGCAACCCGAGCATCTCCACTTTTTAAAACGTCAAACCCTTCGCCCTTTTCTCCTTTCTTTGCAGGCTCCAACAACTGTGATCTATATTTTGCTAATTTAGCTTTCAATAATCCTAAATGGTATTCAGTAGCTAAAATAAAATGTATGTAAAAAATACTTTTCTACTAATAATAACCTCAATTCGGAATTACCTTTATTTTTTTGAGTACGAGCGATTTCCTTTTCTATTTCAGCAATTTTCTCAAGAATACCCATTTCGGACTATACAAACTATTAAAATCTGACCAGAATAAATATCTAAAAAAATATTAATGTTTTGTATATTACTAACATGCGAAATACGACAGCCGATCAAACATATTTTGTCAACGTCAAATTTGTTTTGACAGTGACAATGAAAAAAAACTGCAATACTACAACACAATTACGAAACGGAGCGTAAAACGCGTTCATGAATTTGTTGTTATAATACGGAACGAAATAAAAATAATAATATTATTTTTAAAAAATATATAATACTATTTATAAATTATATAATAATATTATCCTGTCATTATCTTATATTTATTACTGGTTATTATATAAATATTAATATTATTATAAAAATTTTAATTCAATGTATCACTTATTTTTGTTCAGATTTGTATTCAAAGTTCAAAAATATTTACTAGGCGCGATATTTCAAACGAGCGAGTATAAGGCTGTCAAAGTATCAAAAATTAATACCAGTGTTGTCAAAGGTTTAAATATGCATATATATAATAATATTTACTGAAATTTTTTAATTTCAATTGTTAAATTTAATTTTGCGTTATTATTTTTTAACAAGACAATAGTTTCAATTTGACTCTTGAATTAAATGATTAATATTAATCAAACAAAACTAGACGTACACATAATCGTTTGTGCAAAATAGTACCTTTTTGGTTTAATTTTAACCGTTAATTTAATTATTAAACGTACTATAGCATAATATGTTTGTAGAACAACTTACTTTTATTCAAAAAGTGATTACACATAATGATTATTTTTTTTTAATTTTATTTTCGTATGTCTACATATGTATATAATATATGTATAATATAAGCTAACAATATTATTAAAGAAGAATTGTACTATTTTTTAATATTTCGTTGTATGATGTCTTTGAACTTAACCGTGGGCATGTTTAATTATGCTTTCTTAAAATACTTTCTGAAAATACTTACTTTAACATAATATGAAAGTAAATTTTTATTCAATTTAAAAATATTATTATATTTTTTAACGAAAATGTTATTCTACTGTTTTTGTGTTTAAAGTTTGATTTGTCATTCGTTTATTACCTGTGTGTATGTACGAGTATTTTCACTTATGTAATTTTTCAGCATTTTTAGTTCAGTTAACTTTAATTTTTTTTTTGAATATGAGCGCAATTTTTATTTATTTATTTTGCCTTTAAATATACATACATATATTTAGTTTAGGTATAAAAAATGACAAATTTTTATTCTTTTCTTCAATCTTAACAATTGTCGCAAAAAAAAAAGTAGATAACTATCTTTCTATAGAAAAGGAATTTTTAAAGTAAAAGATTATTTCGGTTAACTATGGGATGGCCGTGTTGAAATTTTATGCTGACATGATCAAGAGTCGAGGGAAATATTAATTTAAAAAAAAAAATAAAAATATTTATTTTACATAACACTATACTCTACAAAATGCTCATAATTCGAAAAACAATTTTATATTGTGTTGCGTACATTTCCTCCTGAGATAATTTTCTCATTTTCTTGCTTAAAATTTTGTGACACAATTTACATATTTGATACACATTAAATATTATACTTATCCCATTTAGTTGGTAACAGACGTTTTTTATTCCAAAAAGGATTATAAAATTTAAGACGCTGCGCGTTAAAATTAGAATACCAAATATATAACACTTATTGAAAACAACTTTTTACCCAATAATAACTTTGAATCATGATAAAGCACAAAAAAATAATTTAGTACAATAGAAAAATGAAGATTGTCAAATAAGAATCCTTTATTGTGAGTGACAGAATATTATTGCATAATATGCAAACGTAGATTTATAGTTAAATAGGTATTGAAAAAAAAAATAAAAAAATTTTGACCTGCATTCAAAATAATATCTAATAGAGTATCTCGTTTATGGTATAAAAAAAAAATAAAAATGAAATAAAAGTAAACCTTTTTCAATTTCGGAAATGCTGTTTTTTTACAACTGCAGGTGCAACCGAAATCCTTTATTATATTTTTTGCACATTGTGTAGTAGTAGCATACAAATGAAATAGGTTATAACCGCACTAAAAAAATTTATTCTGTATAGAAATATTTAAAAGTCGTAAAAGTTATGCTATATATTTGGAGTATATTTTACTTACCTATATTTTATTATCAACATGTTTCATACGTCTGTGTAATCCTTGCTGAAATGAGGAAATTTGCTAAAAATTCCTCATTTCAGAAAAAATTATTTTACGATATTAAAATAGATTTTACAAAAATTTATGATGGTCTTTATATTTTTACAAAGAAAGGATCAAATACAATAGGAGTGGGTATAAATGGCTTTCTGAACCTGAAAATCGCGGCCCATCCACATTTATTAATTGATTTAAATTAAAATATTAAAGAACTGTTTGAATTATTTTGCAAAATACACGAAATTTTTGTTTTCGAACAAAAAAATGATAATTTTTTTATTTCAAAATAAAATTACTTTCAAAAATCACAACTTCTACATTTCAAATCACTTTTTCACTTGTTATATTTTACTCTGTTAAAAATGTTTGTGCGAAACCTTCCAGTGCATAAAAATGAACGTGTAAAATTTTTGAAATTAAAAAAAATATAAGAATTACAATTTTTTTGTGGGTGAAAAAGTATACCGCATGAGGTGAAATAAAATATATATACATATTATATATATACAATATCCTAAAAACTATTTATATGCATATGTTGGTATTATTTGTCTATATGTGTAAATACTTATACATACTTACTTATATTTATGTGTTATAAACCACAACTTTATATAAGACTCAATAATTTATTACCTTTGGTTTATGAACAAGAAATGTTCAAGAACTTAATTTTGGTTGGTTAAACACAATTTTAATAGAATTTAAATTATTGTTCATATATATATATACATATTGTATAGATTGAATGAATAGTCTTATATATACGATTGTATATATTTATCGGCAAACATATTAAACTTTATGAATTTTCTTATAAACTGATAAAAGTATAAATTATCTGCTACTGGAAAATTTCAACACAATATACTTGCATATTTGCACATGTAATTATTAGGAGAAAAATAAAACGTTTATTATTTTATAAAAATTTAAATTGCAATAAAACCGTACATTATATATATATTGTACGAAAATATATGTATGAAAATATATGTATATTTTAACTATTTAAAATCTGTTGTGTTCACAACCGTAAGTAATGAGTACATTACATTTTCATACAATGTTTTATCAAATTTATATGTATATATAGACACAATTCGGTTTTATAAAATTCTGAGAACATTTTAAATCTCTTATGTTGTTATATTACAACGCGATAACGTTATATTTGTGAAAGTGCGAAAATTTTTGAAATATTCAAATGCATAAATACGTCTACATACTCGCGAACATATTCATTACCAAATTAATTAATGAAGTTTGAATATTTTAAATGTACACATACATACTCGTATTATGCAGGTTTAAACTAATATTTGGATTTTAAATTTTTATTTATATAAAAGAATATTTCTTTACAAAAATAATTTATAAATTTTTGTGATATTTTATCTAATCTTCTTATAAGATTTTAGCAAACTTAGAACGTAAATAAAATGATTGCTTGCATACATATTACAATAATACAAGAATTTTATAAAGAATCAGCGTGAAAAGTATTATACTGCATTTAACCATGTTTCAAGGATACAACAGAGAACTAACATACTAACATTAACTGTCACATTTTAATAAATTTTAGTTTAGAGATTTTTATGTTTATAATTGTTTATTTATATTACTATAGGAGAACACCACTATATTTTGAGATGATGTTGCTTAGCGTTTATTGAATAAAATTAAAAGAATTGATTATAAATTATTTAATAATTTTGCCAAAAAAAATTTGAATTAAATTATGTAGAAATATGCGTCATAATTTATAAATAAAGTGGGCAATATTATTTTAATTATTTGATCCAATTTAGAATACTTATAAGGGACTGGAATACTCACTTGAAAATTGATACAGTATAGTCTATACAAATAGAATCAAACAACAATTAACAGCTTTTTGTGTACTAAAAATTATTGTTTAAAGATAAAGCTGTTGGAATAGGAAATTTTAGAAGAATTGTCTACTTTTAGGCGTATTTTTTAAGCATGTAAATACATAGATATATGTAATTACAATTATGTGAATTTTTTGGATACGAGTTTTAAATATTTTTTTTAATTTTACGTAATTTAAATTTAATGTTTTATAGATTATTTTGCTATATGTAGCTATGTATATATAGGAATAAACAGACCGAATCAGAAATTTTTATTTCTATTTTATTCACACATAAATAAAACGCGGAACATTATAATTAGAGCAGAAATAATTATTTCAGTCAAGTTAAATTTCATTATATATAACATATATATGTACATATACATATTTTTTTGGGAAAATTAGTTAAAACTTTAAAATTCGGTATATTTATATATTATGTACCAATTGTGTAAAATATGTTCAAACGAATATTTTAAGGTTTATATTAAATAAAAGGTATATATGTAGGTATGTATAAGAAAAATTAATAAGTGTTAAAAATCTTTGTTTAATGTCAAATTTTTGGTTGTATGTACGTATATATATATATACATAAATAAAAAATATAAATATGCATATGTTTGTAGGAATTTGAATAAAATTTTCACTTATTTACATAAATTTTTTTTATAATCTATCCAAAAATAGTATAGAAAACATATTATGTATAGTTAGAACACTTAAAATTAGGTTTGTGTGTATGTATATATTTAAATTATCTAGACTTGTTCAAGGATCTACATATACGTATTTAATCTATGAATATATAAAAAATTTGTTGTTTTTTAATTCTTATTTTATTATTCTCTACGGATAAATTTAAGATAATTATTCTAATAGGCGTAATGATGGTTTTTTTTCATAGAAACAAAAAAAAACAAAAAAATTATAAATAAAAATATATTTGAAATAAATTTTAGGATAATATAATAAATAACAGAAATAGAATATGTGTACGTATAGAGCTACGCATAATGTTCTTTATTTGATGTACTCGTAAGTACTAAA